ATCACAAACATTCAGAATTGTGTTGTCTACTTTTCCAACTTCTGTTAAGATGATCAACATTAGACCCAATTCCTGGCGCAGTAGATTATAGCAATGAGCAAGTTACATTGTTATCTCCAAATCAGCATGAACTTGCATTTTCTCATCAAGTTTTGCACACTGGATCTTTGCTAAATATAAGTATAAATATAAATCTTTGCTATGTATAAATTTGTGTGTGTGAACCAGTCAACAACCCTACCATCTGCTAGTCAGTATCTCAGTAAGATAATTATGGGCATCAAGTTTTATAATATTCTATGTAAACATATGTTTTATATGTATTGTCATTATATGTAAGAACATATCTTAGATATCGTCTTAATGCTTAGACTCACATATCCTAAAATTTATTTCTTCAATAAGTACAATTAAAACATCAATGGTCAATACTGACTTGTTGGAGTAACTCCAATGAGTAAGATCTATTTTGTATTCTGTTCAGAGTGAATTGTTGTGCAAATAATACAAGATTATATTTGTTGTTATTCTTCTCAGCACCTAAATATATGTGAACAGCTGAGCCTGACCAGGGAAGAATGTTATTAATCTAGTTTAATGTCAGAAGATAAGCAGTTGAGATATAGAATCTTAGATACTAGCAAAACCTTAGCACAACTCCCACCTTCATTTATGAGTGAATTCATTAAGGTGAGCTCTCTGTTAGTTGCTTGAATGTTCTTTTTTCCTGAACGAAAACCGAACGGCTCACAGTCCCACATAAACCGGAATTGCAACATCCCTCTGCTCTTCATTAGTGATGCTTTGAAATATTCTTGTTTCTTTCTCACTCTTAGTGAGTTTACTTACAATAGTTCTAGCAATATCAGGTGAACATTAATTGTTTTGTTTCTCTGTGAGAACTGTAGCCTGTATTTCTTTGAAATTCTTAACAAGAACTTTGCCTTAGGCATAATGTGTAGGTAAGGACCTACAGCTGCCAGTCTGAAAATGTGTCGGGATGTTTGGAGCCATGTTGGAGAAATGTAGTGCCAATAGAGACTGTGTGGTTGGAAGGTAATTGGCTACTGATCTGGGTAATCTTTTGTTGTATAGAACTATCAAAAGCATTAGATAGTTCTATACAACAATGTCCTAAAAAGGGTAATTACCATCATCTATAAAAATGAAAATCAGGGTGCTTAAAAAGAAAGAAAAAGAAAAATTAGAATAGATTAATTTCCACTATTTTAAACTTAATTAAGTTTATGTGAGATCAATATTAAAGATTACCTTTTATTATCATGAACCAAAATTCACAACTTTAAATTAATCCTTAGTGTAATCAAAAGTAAGATATGCAGGATAAATTCAGTCTAGGAAATGTAATTAAAAAACAGACAAGAATCATCTTCCTTCTCCGTGACTAGAGCGGGATTCTATAATCTGAAGCCCCAAGGCCACATTTTATCACCAAGCCTTGGATCAGCACACAGAGCCCCTTCAAAATTACCAATAAATTGTAATTCATGATGTGACTGAAAGGGAATTGTATTAAGTGCACGATGGAATAGGTTTTCATATTAAATGTAATTAATGTAATTTAAATCAAATTTTGTCCTAGTCCCATATATTTTTGGAAGTGCAGACCCCCCTTGATTAATGTTGAAAACTCTGTGTGAGATTGGATTGGTTGCTAAATGCTGTATAATTAAGGTGAAAAAGTAAGATATACAGGACAAATTCATCAAATTAATTGTCATCAAATTCAAATGCATTGATCCAAGTGGAATCAACCTAGTCTATAAGTTCTCCTTCAGAATGTCATATTTCATCAACAGATAAAGCAGTACATTGTAAGTCAGGAATGGTTAGTCCTTGTGGATTACGACTGGTTCCTAAGCAGAATGAAATAGGTCCAGTGGATGAAATCAAGATGCAAAAATTCATGCACACATACAAAATTTCTCCCTCTGTCTCTCACATATCTTCAGAATGGCTGGGAGAGGAATTAAGGCCCCTTGCTGCTCCTCACTCCTCAAATTCTAAGGATCTCTGAGAAAGGGGACTTAAATCTTCTCCCATCCCTATAAGCTTGAACAGTGTCATTGATCCAGATCCAAATCACAGTTACTTTCCTTCCACCCAGATGATGGCTTACCAGTTGAGCCATAGGAAAAAAGATGGGCAGACTTTTGGGCTGTGTCAAATCACAAACAGAACAAGGTGCGCATTAATCTGTATGTGCGTGGGATTATCATATATGTACTATACATAAAGTATGGGTGAACAAGCCATGCCAGAGTGCTGTGATACCTGCAGAGTGAATAGCTCCAAATGAGAAGAATACTAATGAACTAGAACTGTTATAGAAGAGATAGAAAAGCTTCCTTTTGCATCACAGGTACTGCTAGATTGCTGATAGACACTAAAAATAAAATTTGAGTTTCTCGAACAGACAGTGAATGATGCTTTGTGCTGTGCTTCTATTTAATGAGTGCTAACACAAAAGCATTATTACAACCAACTATGTGAGTCTGAGCTGATGACTCTATAGCCATCTGACTCTACAATTAAATTACCCCAGTGATCCAAAATACTATTTAACTCTGCATTATTACAGAATGTGTGTGCCTGACTAATGACTGCAGAACTCAAAAAGCTGAGGCTAATCTAGGATTTTTTTTCCATGGAGTTGTGATCACTTCATAGATTCAAAATAGCATAAGCCAGGACATGAACTGTGTACTTTATATATACACAATTATAGAACTGGGTTTTATATTTAAAGTTATACATAAAATTTAGTTTATTGTATTATTCTAAACCAAGTGTGGGCAACCAAAGCTTTTAGGATACATACTTCCCCCCAACTTTAGTGGCACAATGGTTAGATCCCCACCCTTAAACCCATCCAAAATGGCCCCCAAATGGCTTTAAAATATTTGATTTCAGGAGATTTTGGAGGGAGTTATCTGGCTTAAGGTACATAGGAGGAAATAAAACTGATAAAAATGTACAAATACAAAACAATAATCCATAGTTGTATGTATATAATGTATCGAATTCATAAACCAAAAGGCCTAGGGAAAATAAAAATACAAAGGGAAAGAGAAAACCATGGTCAAGTCCTAAAAAGGGCCTTTTTCAGTGCTCATCTTGCTGGACAGACTTGTTTCAACCTCTGCTGTTCTTCAGAAGTGGTCCAATCAAAAGGGTAAGTTGAACTTTATACACTTGTTCTCTTCTTGAGATTTACATCAAACATCACTCCTTTCAAACAATTCTCTTCACCAACAATAGCTTACCTATCTCTGTGTTTACAGTATCTAATTGTACATTATAGGTACAATTTTAAAGCCATTGCTGTAATTTAAAAGAAAATACAATACTTCTTACCAGAGCAAGATAAAAGGTAATCAATGGCTCTAGAATACATGCTTATTCAGTCTACTATTAGATTCTAATGACTGGAGGTCAAGCTTCTGTTCCCTCCTCCTCCTTCTTTTTTACTTTTATTCTAATAAATGATTGTCTTTACATAAATGATAGGGAGGTTTTCTTTCTAAAAAGCTTCTTGATGCACTTAAAAGGCACCTTCAAATAGAAGGCTGTCCTCTATGAAGCAGGACGTGGCTATCCTCATTTTGTCACTCAAGCAGTGAGAACCTTTCCTTCTGGAATCTTATGCTTAGCCTCCAATCGTCTTTTTACCTTATGTACATCAAATAAAACATGTTCTTATGCTTCTACTGGAATTCCAGTGTTTCTGAGTGACTGTTCATTTATAGATTCGGCCACTTTAATTTTGTGATGTGTCTTCTGTTCATAGCCAAGCTGACCTTGTTGTAAGAATGGATCTCGTTTTGGAAGCTGCGTCAAACCATTCCCAGCAAAAATCGACATATTGCCTATAAATAGATAAAAAAGCCAGCCAAGGATAATTGGTCCATTTTCAATGGTAACAATGGCATCTAATAGTGCTGCTTTCTCATGACTTACAAATGTCATCTAAAGTTGACTGAAATGAAGCTCAGATTGTACTATGATTCTGCTTTGTTCATGCAATTTTACAGTAGAGAGAGATGTCACTATATTTTATAGTTAACCCTTCTGCATTTTGTGCAGTTTTTCCCATCTTTTTTTCTTACCATATACGAAGAATTCTGCCAATGGGAGATCAGAAAAGATACTTAATACACTAGAAGCTGTTTGTTGGAAGCATCCCAAACTGCATTTTAGATGTAATAGTGAAAATACAATGAGTATTACAGCAGGGACCAGCCTAGCACCTGAAATTATTGAGTCTCAGTAGCACTGAAGCAGTAAATCCTTAAAGATATTCTGTCTAGTTTTGATTTAAAATGATTGTGCCATTTTGTAAAAAATCTCAACATGGCATATAAAGGTAAAATATTTAAATTAAAATAGATAATTAAAATAAAATAAAATAACATACACTAATCAAACATTAATGCATTATATTTTGTCATATTCTCTATGCCACATATTCTATGTTGCATTCACATAGGTTTGTGTTACCCATCATACATACCAGTAAATGTTATGGGATCCAAAAGTTTTGGGACACCAAACTGGTGTCTGTGAACTCCATTCTTCTTGCCACCCAACACAATAGAAATTCACAATGAAAATATCACAGCTGATAATGTGGGGACCTACAGAGTGTGAGAAAAGAGTAGCTATGGGTGGAATAAATAAGCATGCCGAATGACAAATCCCCTTTTCGCTTATTTATTTGTTTGTTTGTTTAACAAACGTATCTGGCTGCCCAGCTATCAAAAGGAAATCTGAGTGGCAAACAATAATAAAGTAAAGTATGGATTCTACACTAATACATTATTAACTTATTATATACCTAGGTACTATAATTAAACATTGCTAATAATTCTGTTGTAATTAATACACAAACATTCATAATTATTTCAGGAATGCATCAATTGCATAATAATTTATTAACAACCATTTTTGTGTTGGGCATAGCAAGAGGAGGAGGAGGATCGGCATCATCATCATCATCATCATCATCATCATCGTCATCCCTCTGTAGAAATTATTCTGACATCAATGAGAGAAAGAATTCACCATTATCCACGACCCTCAGATTGGGTTTCAGGGTGATGAAAAGCTGTGGTACGAATATGATTAGTCTGACAAAAGCATTTTGTTTTAAATGAACTTCTTAGGCAAGGTTAGTGGTGAGAAGGAAGCCTGGTATAATTGCTCCTATTTCATAGGACTTGTCTTTGTATGTGGAGGCGCGTATGTGCGTGTGCGGGTGTGCATATGTGAATTCTTTTCAGTGTCATTTTTCATACCCATTACAGTGTCGGTTCATTAAAATTCTCACTGCAGCACCGAAGCTGGTCAGACTGAAATGGGGCTGACAAACCTCATGTCTGCACACAGATAACCAGACCTTATGAAGGTGAAATTAGTTTTCAGGAGCTGTGCTGCTCACTTGATTGATTCCGTCTTAGGAGTCATATGACTTAATGTTTCCTGCATGGGCTTCCACTGTCATGCAAACATGACCTGATAACACATTGTCAGGAGCGCACCAGAGAGCTAACAGCAATCTAACATCTTTCTACTAGGTGTGAAGTTCCATCTGAAATGAGCATATTTGATAACCAGCTCTTCCTCTATCTGTCCTTTTCATTTTCAGAAAGTTAATCTTCTCTGCTTCACTGAGTGCCAAGCAGAAATGCACAGCTGGGAACTGTGGCAAGTGGTCCCTAACTACCCTACAGGGATAATCTCACCTTTCAGGGGCAGAAAGACGTCCAGGTCAATCCTAAAAGCTCACTGCTGCCACTAGAGGTAACCAAGTCCAGATCAATCAACCTTGCTCCCTGACCCTACCCACATCCCTCAAGGAAAATTGTTGCTGGCTTCCATAAGGAGAGCTTTCTTTATTCTCTTCGCCTGACCATCTCTTAGGCCAGGCCATCATTTACAGAGACAGAATTACAACTGCTAAAGCACACATAATAAAATCATTTCATTTTTACTTTCCTCTTGTTGAAGGGAGCAATGTTCCATCCAGAGGGTAAAAACTCCCGTGTCATCCAGGGAGCAGTTCTGCAGCCCACCCTCAATTCTACAAGTTGGTAAGTCATTTTGCATTGAGTGTGTGGTGGGGGTAGGGAGAGAGAGCTCATACTTTATACATGGGCATGTTAGTATGGGTGTGAATGAGGTACGCTGCTTTAATACTTACCTTAAAAATAGTTCTTTCTATGCAGTTTTCTCTAGTATAGTTTCTTGGAACCCAACATTGTTAACATATGCTGTGATTTACGTTACTTTCTTAAAGATATGGCCGTTTTTATATTCATTTCCAGACTACAATCTGGTCTTTGCAAACCTTGCTCCTGAAGAATAATGGATGGGAAAGGATTCCATCCATCGCTCCTAACTATGCAAGAGTAGTCTCTGCTTTGGGCAGATTGCAGTAGTTCACTCTAGAACATCCCTCTCTAGGAAACAGTTGTCAGTTCAAGATTAGTTGAAAAGATTAGGTGGCAGATTATAGGAAAGGTTTTAAGACCTAGGTGGACAAAATGCATATTTCCTGGTTGAAATTTGTTTCTAAGTGACCAGTGTCCATTAGACCAGTGTCCAACGTTCAGCCTCCTACCACATCAGGTGCCTACACCAATTTGAGAGTGGAGCTATGCTGATGTATTGCTGTGATGGTATGGCAGGTTGGTGGGACTTGGAGAGCCAGGCTGATTCACTATCAGCTTTGTTGGTGCTCCAAAGGAAACACTGCAAAGACAATTTTACAGCCTTTCTCGGAGGGAGCAGTTTCCTATTGACAGGACTGTCTGCCTTTTCTCACCTCCCAGCTCCTTTATTTCCCTCTTCTCACCCGATGACAAGATGCCTTCATGACCTTCCTCTGTTCCCCATCCTCCAAAGTTGCAGCCAGATGCTTTGTTGCTTCCTCGATGCAGTGGCCAGTTGGAAGGTGTTTGTTGTTGTTGTTTTTAAGAAATCTTTGCAATAAAAAGAAACAATGGTGAAGGAAGCAGGAAGATAGAGACAGTGGACCATCTGGTTGTTGTCTTCTGTGTCCTCACATTGGCAAGCTGATGGGAGGAATGACTGGCATCCTGGGGTGATAATGATCAGCAGGGGAGAATTTCCCCAATTTTCACAATCAGCTGCAAAGGCTAAGAAGGGTGAAGCTGGTAGCTCTGAAAATGACCCCTCTGCCAATTTGAGTTAGGAATAATTCTACTGATCTCAACCAAGTCCTCTGCTAGGATCCATCCTAGTCCTCCTATGATGTCCAATGACCTGGTTGTTTGGAGGACTTCTTTTGGGTAGATGCTGCACCGTTCATTTTCATTTTACCAGAGAGCAGCCCATCTTTTTCAGGGCAAATTGCTTTCAAAACTGAAGGCCATTCAAACCAATTTTCCGGGGAGGGGGTAGCACAGGAATCAGTTGCCCCAAAGGGAAAAACTAAAGTAAAGAAATGCCTACCAGGCTCTGCAAGGCTGTGTCCCTTTGGATCCCTGCCAGCATGCTTCCCTGTGTTTGTATTAAGCCTACTGATTAATCTGTTTGTGTCACCTATTATATTATGAGAATGGCAGCTATTATCTCTCCTGCTTTCTTTATAAAAATGGGCTTTCTTTTTGCTTTACTCATCTTTTCCTGCCTTTTAACTAGCTCCAGATCCCTGACAACACTTATCACGTGATCACTTAATTTTCTCATCTTAATGGCATAATTGAGGAAAGCAGGTATTTTCAGGCATGATGGATGTTGATTGCTCCTTCTGAGCCGGCTAAAAGTAAAACATGCACATTTTCAAAGCCTGTCCTCCTTTGAACAAAACACTTTATTTCCTCTAGGTGAGCTTTTGAGAAAGTCTGGGTGAGAAACACATAAAAGCTTAATTGTCTTGTCTCTTCTTTCCACATCTGTCTCTGGCACTTATGCAACTGCTGTGATGCAAATGAGTGCATTTTCTATCTTTTGAATTGTACACTTTGAAACAAGAATCTGCTGTCTTCTGCATGCATTTTTTTTAACCATCTGCCTTTCTCTGTTTGCATCAGCATTGCCACACACCATTCCCTCTCACAACTGGAAAGTGTTTTTACCCTGAACCTTGGAACAGCTTGCAAAGGAGAATTCCAGCAGACTGATTGTCATCTGTCCATAATGTCACCAGTGAATAAATCTGACTGGGAGCAAGAACCAGAAACTATATCAGGAGGTAACCGTGTAAAGGCTCATATGCTATATGGAGCCCACATAGGTTTTTGCTCCAAACCAGCTGCTCATGCATCAGTAATGTTATTTAAAACATCTCTCCTTGCACAATACAGAGGCAATACAGAGGCCAGGGAGGAAAATTCAGAGGCAGAATATGTGTCAGTGGCCAAATTTGGCTACAGTAACCTACAGAATCAAAGCAAAATGCCAGACAACAACTCATCTTGTGGTTACAATTTTCTACCATGTGCAGAAATCCACGACAGAAATCTAGATTTATCCTATGCTTTTTTACCATTCTGATGACCTCAATTGTCCTTTTCATTTTTAAAGTCACAGCCTTAAAAATATTCAGTGGTAAGATAATTTTGGACTGTGGGCTTAATGGTTGGATAGAGGATGTCTGAAGGCTTTTAAAATTACAATTCATATTACTCTACTTACTTCCAAAAGTGATATGCCCACCTCCTACATTTTGTTACTGAGGTCCTAGACATCTGCTCCAAAGTTCTGTTACAGTGACATCTTATGTGGCATGTTGAGGAATTTAAACCTTTATTATGGATGATAATGATCTAGCCAGATCATTAACTGGCTACATTGAGAAAGGAGAGAACTAATCAGGGTTGGGAAGGTATCCATTATGAAGAGGTGTTTCCACCTTCATGCTCTTTTCCATGGTACAACTATGATTCCCAGAAAGATGTAAGATCTTTCAACAAGAGATGTACTTATCAATGCAAATACCTCTGTTCAACCAATCTCTTGGTTCTTGTCTCCACTTCTCCTTCTCACTCTGCTTCATCCTTCCTTATCAATTTCAGTTTGCAGAGACTTCCATTTAGAAGGTCAGGATAAATTAAGCCACAGTCTTCCATAGCTCCTAGCAAAGAGCTGGATTTTCCCCTCTGGGTGGCAGATGTAAGACATTTTAATTATTTATTGATGTGCAAATCACAAGAGAAATATGCTGTCATTTTACTTCCCTCTCACTGAAAATCTAAGCATGCTGCAAATTAGCTTGCAAGCCTGATTTCCGAATCGTTCCCAAATATACTTTTAGTCTCTTGCTTCTTGCCTCATTCTACCCTCAGCAGACAGCAAACAAACATGTTTATGTCAATATTAGCATTCTCTTCCCACCTTCTATGATTAATTGACCAACTCACTACCATTCAGAAAACAGCCAAGATAAAGACAGTAGTGTGTTTTCCTAGACAGCAATTCAATGGATGCCTTCAGAGATGTGTTCCTTTTAACAGCTAAGTTAAAACACTACAAGAGGCAAAATGCTGTTGAAACCCAAACCCACAGCCTCTTTTCATTGCCACTGCCACAAGCAGCCGCACTTCTGGGAATTGTTGTCACTTTGGATAATGGCAGTGATCAGTTCAAAGGCAGGTCAGACAATTAAAATATTCAGCTAGAATATCCTGCGCTCCAAGTTAGCAAAGACCCTTACAAAGGGGTTCTCTTTAAATATGGGGAATGAATGAAAAATAAATGTAAAATGCACGACTGGAAGGTCTTATAGAAACAGGTGGAAGAAGAAAAAAGAAAAAACAGCATCAACACCACAATACAACCTATTAAACAAAGGCAAAATCTTATTTGAAAGGTCAACATACAAGGAGGTGGCTGATGGGTGAAATCCAGTTATGGTCAGGATTCAAATCCAGATCAGCTGTCGTGTGCGAAAGACCACTAGATAATCATATTCTAGGGAGGGTCTGTGAGAGGGTTTCCAGTTGTATAGGGTCATCCAGCCATTGCTGTGGTGATCTATCAGTAAAGAAGACAGACTTTAGATCAATGATTGGGTTAGAGTTAAGGTTAGGGTTATGAAACTGGGAACAATCTCAGAAGAAAGTAGGCAAGACAATTCCAGTCATAATTTGGAAAAATTCAGGATGGCATCCTGCTACAGGTGGAATTTATAAGTACCAAGAAAGCAGTTTTTGCTAATCCTCCAAGAAGTATTAGTGTCAGGCCAGAAAAATTCTCTTTTATTTTTTCTACCAGTTCTCATTCTATTTGATAAAAGAGAAACCACTTTAGAAATTCTTCCAGAAACAAAAAGTATTCCAAGAAATAGTCATGGGTAGTTTTTCTTACATTTTTTTAATGACGAGTTGACCAAAGGCGAGAGGGGTGTGGCGCTTTCATTTGGTTTGTACCCTTATCTCTCCAAACCTCTTCTTGCTTCAGTTAAATTCTAAGCAAAGATTTAGTAAAGGAACTCTTTCATCTGGACTTTTTCAATGGTTTTGCTGTCACCACTAAAGGGAAATTCTGCTCTTCATAAATGGTGAACATATTTCTTCTTCCAATGGAGAAATTTGGAGAAAATGTGTAGCCCATATCTCTGTTCACAAATGTTGAGGAGGATTTTCCAAGGCTGTTAATGCCGGTTCCAAAAAATAGAAAAAGCCCATTCAGATATGATCTGTGCATAATGCTTTATCTTTTTTCTTCTTGCACATTTGCCCACAGCTTGATAGCTTTTGCTTTTGTTTTCAAATAACTGCAGTACGTTGTGTTGTCTAACTAGCTAAATTAGTTTTAATTAAGGGCTATTCAAACAAACCACAGTTTTACATTAGGGTTTAATTTTTGACAGACTAAGATTATACTGATTGTATTTTGTCGATGTTTGGACATAACAACAGGTAGCAGTTAATTGAAAACAATACTTCCAATCTCTTCTCATCAGATGAAAAACATGAACCTAAGTATCATGCACAAAACATTAAGTTATGATAAATATGACACCTGAAGATGCTGACCTGTGTTTCAAAAGCAATAATCACTTACTTACACACCCACACACCCTGGGAACAAATAATAGAGTAATTCAAAATTGGTTGAATTTATT